CAGAGATAACTCCTGGCAATGCGACGGCGTCGGAGGTGTTGTGTATGTAAGTCAGACGGCCGCACTTATCGTGTCATACATGTAATATTCATAAACATGAGCGATGAGCGTGAACAAGCAGGCGCGCCCGCCCGTGAAGCCTCGTTTGCCGCCTGTATTAGGGGGGAGGCGCCGGAGCTGAACGAGTACAGCGGTCCGTCCGCTGCGACAATCATCTGCGCGCTGCTCAGGCTAATGGGATTGATTGGCGGAGCAACGTGTGCGGCGCCGGTTCTCAGGAGACGACGTGCCGACATATTGTATCAATGGCGAGCTCCCGGCGTACGTAGGAGACAATCCGCCCGATTTTATGTATTCATTAAAATCATTATTCCACTTCAGCAATTGAAAAACGTAAACGATTCGGGCTTAGCCCCGCCTCCTTCCTATTGGTCAGGAAGAGACCACCCAGTTCTTTTAAATGAGGACTATTAGGTGAGTGATTTTTTAGGCTCCCTGCAGGGATTCCCTCCGCTCCGATCCTCCAGCGCTGACTGGCGGAACGGACGGGGGAGGGGGCGGGGACAGCTGGCTCTGCCTCTAGATAGGCATAGCCAGCTGTCACTCACGGCTCCCTGCAGGGATTCCCTCCACTCCGATCCTCCAGCGCTGACTGGCGGAACGGACGGGGGAGGGGGCGGGTACAGCTGGATCTGCCTCTAGGTAGGCAGAGCCAGCTGTCACTCACGCAGCTGGGCGGATCTCGACAGTGATGTCGGGATCTGTCCCGGCTGCGGCGTCTCAGTATACCGCGAGCTATAGCACGCGTTATACTGAGCTTTGGGTGACGGGAGGACGCTAGTTTATGTCCTCCCGTGACCCTTGACCCTTAGGAGAACTAGGGGGAAAACACTGACCCCCCCCATAGTTCTCCTTTTTTTAAAGGACAACTTTTGGGGATTTACCTCACTTATTATCACTTTACCACTTTAGCTGCTTCGGGTCAGGGCGGCCCATTCAAATGAATCGGCCGGCACTAGACCAAACCGTCCAAGAAACTGACCTGCACCATATCGGGCCGCTGCAACACACTGTAGGGTTACCATGCGTTGCAGCACATGTGCATTAGAGCTGCTTTGGCTAGTATATCGGGGGTGCTGTTCAAAATGAATGGCAAGGCAACGCACCCAAAAAAGTGTTTTTTTTTTGTCCCTTATTAACATGGGGGGGGAACAGGGGTAGATGGGGAGCAGTTTTACCACTACAAGGACCTGTGGGTGCTTCACCTGGCCACCAAGACCTGGGAGCAGATCAAGTAAGGACTCCTTCCCCGTCGTTGTGTACTTTCCCACCGCGTTCTGCAGCCGTGCATGGGTTCTAGGTTTCAATAGGGCCTCCCTCGGGTCACTGTCGGGTCCTGAGATCAATATCTACAGGACAGAAGCGTGTAAGACCCGGTCTGCAGTAACGTATGCTGAAATCCAGGCACGATATA